TTTCATGGGACACCTGTGCCTTTCATGGGACACCTATACTTTTCATGGGACACCTGTGCCTTTCATGGGACACCTGTGCCTTTCATGGACACCTGTGCCCCCATGGGACACCTGTACCTCATGGGGCACCTGTGCCCCCATGGGACACCTGTGCCTTTCATGGGACACCTGTACCCCCATGGGACACCTGTACCTCATGGGACACCTGTACCTCATGGGACACCTGTGCCCCCATGGGACATCTCTGCCTTTCATAGGACACCTGTATCCCCATAGAACACCTGTGCCTTTCATGGGACTCCTGTATCCCCATGGGACACCTGTGCCTTTCATGGGACAGCACGGGACATCTGGCTGGCATAGTTGGCCCCGCCGTCTCCTCCCCATGGCCAGAGGGCACTACTGTCTCAGGAAGGCTCTTGACCAAATGACCTCGGGGGTGGGGAGAGGGGCAAGGGGGCCGGCGGGGAAACTGCAGGGCCTTCTCAGGTGGCCGGAGGTCACCCCTCGGGGGCTCAGTGGGTCTGGCCGAGGGGGTGATTGTGGGGTGGGGGGAGAGGCCAGGCAGGGAAGTATCATGGTCAAAATCACACCTCTGGGCTCCTGTGCTATTTCCAACCCCCGTCCCCCAAAACCTGGCCCAGGAAGAGCATGGTGTTCCAAGCATCTTTCTAGAAGTTGGGGGGCCCACGAGAGATCTGGAGGGCGTAGCTCAGGGATGGTGGGAACCACTTCCCCTGGGTGACTCCGACAGCTGGCCCCTGCCACCTCGGGGGCTTTCGAGGACCGGAAGCGGGCAGCCGGGGCAGGGCCGGGGTCTGCAGCAGGGACTTGTCACGGCACGCTCCCGGGCCCCGCCGAGCCGACCGTTGTGTTGCTCCTCCCTGTCTCCGGCCCCACCACCACCCTGGGGGTACCTTCAGCATAACAGGAAATTTCAAACAACAGGAAACAGCCCGGGCAAGGCAGCAGCTCCACCCTGCCCGGCCCAGCCACACCGGGCCGCAATCTGCCCCGGGGCCCGCTATGAACGCCACAGGGCCCCCGGTGGCGGCCGCCGAGTCCTGCCAGCAGCTGGCAGACGAGGGGCACAGCCAGCTCATCCTGCTGCACTATAACCACTCGGGGCGCCTGGCGTGGCGCGGGGGGCCTGAGGACGGCGGCCTGGGGGCCCTGCGGGGCCTCTTCGTGGCCGTGAGTTGCCTGGTGGTGCTGGAGAACCTTCTAGTGCTCATTGCCATCACCACCCGCATGCAGTCCCGGCGCTGGGTCTTCTACTGCCTGCTCAACATCACGGTGAGCGACCTGCTCACAGGTGTGGCTTACCTGGCCAACATCTTGCTCTCGGGGGCTCACACGTTCCACCTGACGCCCACCGAGTGGTTCTTTCGGGAGGGCCTGCTCTTCACGGCCCTGGCCGCGTCCACCCTCAGCCTCCTGTTCACCGCCTTCGAGCGCTTTGCCACCATGGAGCAACTGATGGCCCAGAGCAGGGCCACCAAGAAGGGCCGGGTCTTAGGACTCATGCTCCTGTGCTGGCTGCTGGCTACGCTGCTGGGGCTGCTGCCAGTGCTCGGCTGGAACTGCGTGTGCCACTTCCAGCATTGCTCCAGTCTCCTGCCGCTCTACGCCAAGGAGTACATTTTCTTCTGTGTGACTGTCTTTGCCCTCATCCTGGCCACCATCACGATGCTCTATGGTGCCATCTTCAGGGTGGTGCGGCTCAACGGGCGCCCAACGCCACGCTCCCGCCGGCTGCTGCAGATGGTGCTCATGATCCTGGTGGCCTTCATCGTGTGCTGGGGACCGCTGTTGGGCCTGCTGCTGGCCGACATCTTCAGCTCCAACCTCTGGGCCCAGGAGTACCTGCGGGGCATGGACTGGATCCTCACGCTGGCCGTGCTGAACTCCGCCATCAACCCCGTCATCTACTCGTTCCACAGCCACGAGGTGTGCCGCGCGGTGCTGGGCTTCTTGTGCGGGGGGTGTCTGTGGCTCGGCATTCGAGGCCCCGGGGACTGCCTGGCCCGCGCCGCCGAGGCCCACTCCGAGGCCTCCACCACCGACAGCTCGCTGAGGCCCAGAGACAGCTTCCGGGGCTCACGGTCCCACAGCTTCCGCATGCGGGAGCCCCTGTCCAGCATCTCCAGCGTCAGGAGCACCTAAGGTCAAGGCGGGGGTGACAGAAGAGCCGCCAGGCGTGTGCCCATGCGGCGTCCTCTTCCGGCAGAAGAGGGGGGCCTGGGGCCTGCAGGGTTCAGGAGGGGTGCGTGAGAGAAGGGGTCAGCCGAGGCCCTGAGGCCCTCCCCGTGGCCTCCCCTGATACTGAGCAGGTTCCAGAAGCCGCCGGGAGTTCCCGTGGAGAAGGAGGGGGCTGCCCGTTGGAGTAGAGATCTCTCCGAAGGGGGCAAGTAGGTTTGCCTGCACGCTGGTGTCTGTGTGATTCTGGGGAGTCCTGGCCCCAGGCTGCAAGGGGCAGGCTGTGGGTTTGATGCCCTGGCAACAACGACATTCAATGATGGTATGATCTGCTGCAGCCTCCGTCTTATTCATGCGTGTGCGCACGCGTGCAGAGGGGCGATGCGTGGGCCTGGGAGCGGCCAGCGCGCAAGGGGGTGTAGCCCCAGCCGGAGAGCGTGGGTAGTCTGTGTGCTTGGGGGTGTGGTTGTGAGGGCAAGGGGTGAGTGGGGGGACGTGTGTGTCTGTGCATGGATGGGTACCCTCCCTAGTATGCGTTTGTGTGAGAGACAGAGAGAGGGAGAGAGAGGAGAGAGGGAGAGAGAGGCACTGGGGTGCTGTGTGTGTTTCTGACTGTGGGTGCATAGAACTAGTATCCAGGGTGTGCCTGTGTGTGCTGTGAGTGTGCGTGTGGCCTGAGTGTAACATAAACAGTATATAATATTTCTCTGCGTGTGCACAGACACTTCTGTGGGTGAGTTCTCTCGTCCGAGGGGGTGTGTGCGCATGTGTGACCACGTGTGTGTATACTGTGTGTGCAGTCCTGCATACATTGTGTGTGTGCATGGATGTGTAAATGTGTGCACAGGTGCATGCATGATTGTGTGTGCACACGCGTGCACATACGTCTGCACGTGTACTGGGCAGACATGTTTGCATGCGTGTGTGTATGTTGTCAACCACTCTCATCGTAAGTGTGTAAACGATGAGTGTGTCTGGTCGGGCCGTTGCGAAACTTCCCATGCCCACCCCTTCTCGCTCACTTCCCCTTTCCCTGCCCCTCCCCTGACCTCAGGCTGGCGGCCCCAGCTTCCTTCCCCACTCCCCAGGACCTCTACCTTGTCCGGCTGATTGTTCACCAACTAAAGCCAAACCGTCCTTGCAGGCTCTGGCCTCTGTGTCTTTCGGGGACTCAGCCTGGGGACCGGGAGAGGGGCGGCCTGGCTTGCCTGGCTCGGGGGAAATCTCCCGGCTCCTCTAGCTTTCCCTTCAGTGCGAGCCAGCTGGCCCTTCCGCATCTGTAAAATGGGCTCATGGCAGGACCTGCAGCCCGAGGTTCACGCCCAGAGCTGGTCGCCATGCTGGGCTTCCAGTGCGCCACTAAAATGTCCTGCAGTGGCGAAAACGTTCTCTGTCTGCTCTGTTTGCTCTGGCACCCACCCGCCCTGTGTGTGTGTGGCTGCTGAGCACTTGCGATGCGCCAGGGCAACAGAAGAATGGAACTTTTAACTCTCTGTAATGTGAATTAACTTACATTATTTAAATGTAAATAGCCCCATGTTGCTGTTTTTGGGTGTGTGGAGTCCATCCCGACTCATAGTGGCCACATGTGACAGAGCAGAACTGCCCCCTGGGGTTTCCAAGGCTGTAATCTTTACGGGAGCAGACTGCCGGGTCTTTCTCCAGTGGAGCTGCTGGGTGGGTTGCGACTGCCGACCCTTTGGGTAGCAGCTGAGCACTTGACTATTGCTCCACCCGAAAACCATTCCAAACTGGCTGCCGTCGAGTCAATTCTGCCTCATAGCGACCCTACAGAACAGGGTAGAACTGCCCCATAGGGTTTCCAAGGAGCGTCTGGTGGATTCAAATTACCAGTCTTGGTTAGCAGTCGAGCTCTTAACCGCTGAGCCACCGGGGCTCCTTAAATATCACCATGGGACCCCCATACTGGACGGTGCAGGTGTAAACCCTCAAAACGTGGCCACCTTTATTTAGCTGGTAGAAAGTTCTTTCTCTCCCTCCACCCAGGACCAAGCTAGTCCTCAAGGAGAAGATCCCACCTCAAACCTGGCCTTCTCTTTCTCCAATTTCTAGAGCTTTCTACAACATTCACTTTCCGAAAGCTCCCAAGAGGGATGCCGGTCCAGGCCCTACCCCAGCCTGGAGCCACTGGGGTTTCCAACAGGACTTAGGATCAGACAGGCCTGAGTCCCAGGCCCGGCTCCTTCCCCTGCCCAAGCTCCCTGGGCCTCAGTTCTCCCACCTGTGAAATGTGTGCAGTCCCTCGGTAGCGCAAACAGTTAAGAGCGCGACTACGAGCCGAGAGGTTGGCAGTTCGACCCACCCAGAGGTGCCTTGGAAGAAAAGCCTGGTGATCTGCTTCTGAAAGACCTGCACACACAGGGTCGCCATGAGTCAGAATGGACTCAAGGACACCTAACAGCAGCAACAACGAACAGGGATAAAATAGAAGAAGCCCTCTCACTCCGTCTCGTTTCAAGTGGGGAATTATGAAAATTACATATTATCTCATTACCTCCCTTTCACTGTTTCATTTTACAAATGCCGGCCAGCCTTCGGGGTGAGGGTTATGCTGTCAAGCGGAGGGGTGAGGGGGCGGGGCTTAGGGCGGGGGCCCCCTGGGCACGTGAGTGGACGCTGAGCCTCTGTTTTCACCTCTGTACAATGGGGAAATGCCGGACTGGAGATGATGTCCGTGCTGTCCAGTAGCCACTAGCCAGGTGTGAGGAGGCCCTGGCTGGCGCAAATGGCCAAGTGCTTGGCTACTAACCAGAGGCTGGCGATTCGCATCCACCCAGAGGCACCTTGGAAGAAAGGCCTGGCAATCAGCTTCCGAAAGGTGACAGCCTCGAAAACCCTCTGGAGCACAGTTCCACTCTGACACACATGGGGTCACCACGAGTTGGGGTCAACTGGATGGCAGCAACTGGCTTGGTTTCCTTTGGGTTAGTTGGGTGTAGCCATTTTAACGAAATGAAATGAAGCAGAAACTTCAGTTCCTCAGCCCCACAGGCCACATTTCAAGGGCTCAGTAGCTATTGCTTTGACCAGCGCAGGTCTAGAGCATTCCCATCGTGGCAGAAAGTTCTACTGGACAGGACAGGGCCACACTCCAAGCACTTACGTGGGGTGCCTTATAAGCCAGGATAGTTCTTAGATTTTCCGGATTCCTGTTCCCTATGTGTTTATAGGGGACAACAGCAGGCAGGGTGGGGATCTTGGTGGGATTTGGGGTGAGTGGCGTCTGGGCCACCCCAGAGCTCTCAGCCTGCATCCTGGGCCCTGTATGAGCTGGCCCCATCCCCTCATCTGCCCCGTCGGGCCTCCCATGGTCTGTTGGACTGAGAGGAACTCTGTGCTGCTTCCTCCCATCTCAGGGCCTTTGTACGGGCCTTTGTCGCCCCCACCAGAGTGGTGTGCCCAGCTGCTGCCTGCCCATCCTCTAGGTGTCAGCTGAAGCATTACCTCCTCCAGGAAGCTTCCCCTGCTTTCTCCTCCCAGGCCTCCCCAGCTGCCCATGCACCCCCTATTATGGCTCTGCCTGCCCTGCACCTTCTCTCATTTTTCTCCTAACTACTGCCTGCCCGTCCTTCAGGTCTCAGCTGAAGTATCACCTCCTCCAGGCAGCCTCCCCTGATTTCCTCTCCTCCCTAGGCCTCCTCAGGGCTCCCCCAGCTGCCTGTGTGCCCCCTCATTACGGCTCTGATCTGCCCCGGTTATGCATCCATCTCCTTCTCTGGACTGTGAGCTCCATGAGGTGGAGACTGTAGCTTTGTCTTGGTCGTCTCTGTGCTCCTGGCACGCAGCCCAGCACACAGTAGGTGCTCAATGGCCGGAGCTCTGGGAGAACTGGACCCAGCGGCACACCTGTGGCTGAGCCTCGAAAGTCTCTTTCCCGTCCTCCTTCTCCACTCAGCCTCTTCCCTGGCAGCAGCGGCGGGACTGTCAGGGGTTAACAATGACCCCTTCGCTGGCGTCTGTAACAATTGCCGCTCCTTAGCTCTGCCACAAACCATAGGCCTCGGTTTCCTTATCTGTAAAATGGGTCTTTCCATAGTCCCTGCCCTCCTGGGTTGCTATGAGGATTCGGCAAGATCAGGCACATAAAGACCCAGATGCTTAGCAAGTGTTCACGAAACGGGACGTGTGTGTGCGTGTGTGTGTGTGTTAAGGAATAATAATAACGACAAACCCTTACATATCACTTGGTCCCTGGCATTGTTCTCAGCACGTTTGTATTACTCATTAAATCCTCACGAAATCCCTATAAGATACTGTTATGGGTTGAATTGTGTCCCCGAAAAAGATATGCTGAAGCCCTAACCCCCAGTACCTGTGATCGTGACCTTGTTTGGGAATAGGGTGTTTGCAGACGGTATCAGTTAAGTTCATACTGAGCACGGTAGGTCCAGATCCCATCCGCCTGATGTCTTATGAAAAAGGGGCGCAGACTTAGGGAAAAAAAGAAGGAAGACGCCACGCGAAAGTGTCTCCTCCCCGAGGTCCCTGTCCAACGCCCCGTGACCAGAACCCCCTGCTCTGACCTCCAGCTCCAGTCGCCCTCCCACGCCCCCCCCCCCAATCAGGCAGATGCCCCCGAGCTGGAATGCCGGGCCACCAGAAGCTGGAAGAGGCAAGGGAGGGTCCTTCTCCGGAACCCTCCGAGGGAGCACGGCCCTGCCAACACCCTGAATTCCCATTTCTGGCCTCCAGAACCGTGAGACAATAAATTACTGCTGTTTAAAGCCACCCACTTTTTGGTTCTTTGTTATGATAGCCTTCAGATGCTAATGCAGGCTGTGGTTGCTGTTGGGTGCTGTCGAGCTGAATCTGACTCATAGCGACCCCCCACCCACCCAAAAAAAAACCCATTGCCATCGAGTCGATTCCAACTCATAGCGACCCTATAGGAGAGAATAGAACTGCCCCATAGGGTTTCCAAGGAGCGGCTGGTGGATTCCAACTGCCGACCTTTTGGATAGCAGCCGTGCTCTCAATCACTGCGCCTCCAGGGCTCCGATAGTGACCCAGGGGCAGATTAATCAGTAAGCAGGGCATGCACCAGCTTGCATTGAGCAAGGTACGCGGGCTTCGTTGTATTTCCTTGCTAATCTATGGTTAGCAATTTCGCATGGATTTCACCACATCTTTGAAGTGGTGGGGGGCAGGTGAAATGGTGCACTGCAGACTGGTGGGAAGGCAGACCTTGCTTATTGGCTAGTCTGGCCCTGTAGCAACCCCATGCATAACAGAACGAAACATTGCCCAGTCCTATGCCAGCCTCACAATCGTTGCTATGTTTGAGCCCATTGTTGCAGCCACTGTGTCAATCCATCTTGTTGAGGGTCTTCCTTTTTTTCGCTGACCCTCTACTTCACCAAGCAGGAATACAGGTAGGTACTGCCATTAACCCCATTTGAAAGATGGAGAAACTGAGGCACAGAGAGGTAGTCAGGTGACTAGCCTTATGGAGGTAAGAAGGGAGGTCTCAAGTCCTTTTAGGAGGCAACCATATTAGAACCTGGGCTGTCAACTGGCCGAGGGCTACAGCTGCTGACTTCTGCGCCCTCTGGCCTCAGTTTTTCCATCTGTACAACGGGTGGAGTGGCTGATAGTCATTAAGTACCACGGACCCTGAGACACTGGGTTCCTTGCGTGGCCAAGCATCTCAGTTATCTTGTGATGCTGTAACAGAAATACCATAAATGGCTGGCTTTAACAAACAGAAATTTATTTTCTCACAGTTTAGGAGGCTAGAAGTCTGAACTCAGGATGTCGGCTCTAGGGAATGCTTTCTCTGTCAGCTCTGGAGGAAGGTCCTTGCCTCTTTGAGCTTCTGCTCCTGGGCAATCTTCACGTGGCTTTGCATCTCTCTTCCCCCATCTCTGCCTCTCTCATGCTTGTTTAATCTCTTTTATATCTCAAAAGAGATTAACTTGAGACACATCCTACACTAATCCTGCCTCATTAACATAACAA